TTTAAATCAATACTAATATTTCTGCTGTATCTGTTACTATTGTTTCTCCAATGTTTACCCTATATAGCATGAAATTAATGCAGCTACTAAAATGAGTGAACAGAAAATGTATTTAAGAAATCAAGGGGTCTTCACTCCAACTTTTTTCAACAGGTGCAAAATCTTAACATACCTTCAGTACAGTGTGGGGAAGGGGAAGGAATGGCTTTATTCTGAAGTCATCATATTTCATAAATTGGCATCTTCTAATGTTCTGTGTTAGAATTGCGGGAACCTACCTACCAATTACAAATCCGGCACATGATGCTCATACACAGACAGGATTTTCCCCCTTTTGAAGACTCCTTGCAGAGATCACAGGAGACGAACCTACCAGGTTGCCTTAGCCAGCAAGTCTATCAATCTTTGCCAAAAAAAAAAAAAACACAACAACAAAAAAACAAAACAAAACTAACCCTGGGTAAATCAGTGAGGTTGGCGCTTTCAGGGACTCCAGTTATCCCCATGTGTTTAATCCTGGATTTATTTTTTATTTCATCTGTCTTGCCAGTCAACCATTTATTATCTAGGCACAAACCTTTAATAACCTCTGTATGATCTGAGGTCATGGTTACTACTAGAGAGACTTGCCCACATTCACCCCTGTTGAAATTCCTTTGAAGTCAATGAAGTTTCCAACAGGGATTAATTTGGCCCACTGTCTCCAGTGTTCTCAAATCTGTACTTCCAATGGTTTCTGTGGATCCCTGTGCACCACCTAATCATTTCTGTATGAAATCAAGACTAATTCTAAAGAAGCCCTTGAAGCAGGTACTAATGGAAGTGCAGGTATACCATCCCTCACTTCCCTCAGTAGAGGCTGGGCAAACAACTCTTTTGGATGGAATCTTACCTTCAAGTACCTAAACATTCAAGCTCAGCAATGTTATCTAGCAGGAGATAAACAACAACTGAGAAAGTACAGGAAAAAGAAACATTAATATTCTGTAAGACAAGCCAGAACATTTCTGTACCCATGCCAACTCTCACATGCACACTCCGAGAAACCACTAAATAGAGAGATCATCTGTGTATTTCTCCCCAGCAAAAATCATATTCCCATTTGTGGTATCAAAAATAGCTGCTGTTGCAATTACCAGCAAAGGATTCAGAGTAACAGCCGTGTTAGTCTGTATTCGCAAAAAGAAAAGGAGTACTTGTGGAACCTTAGAGACTAACCAATTTATTTGAGCATAAGCTTTCATCAGCAAAGGATTATTATGGCTTTATAGGGAGTGCGTAAGCAACAGAAAAGGATACGTTCTTAAAGATCCTGTTTTCAAGAAAACATGCTGCACAACAATAAACTAAGAGAAAATAGGTAGGAACCAAGGAATTGCCAAACTCAATCACACCACTATTTACTTCAGTAAGGGTTTTTAGGATTAACTCTTATTTTTGTATTTGGCACCTAGACAGCACAGTGATGAGAACCAAAGTAATGCTTAGACAGACAGGCTGTTGGACAAAGGGAATACTATGCCCTACCTTGGAGCTGGGGATGCATAGGTTAGGACAGCTTCATAGTCCTTTTGCACGACTCAAGCAATACAAAGGGGCTGTAGAAGAAATGAAAATCTGGCCCTCCTTGCCACATCCGTGACAGAAATTAGACTCCCATTAATGCTGTATTTCAACACTGCACGTTTGTACCCAAAACCTGAGTAGGCTTTCAATTAGACCCAAAAGGTCTAGATCATCACAACTGGTGTAAATCATCATTGTGGCTTTGCTGTAAATAGAGTGATGCCAATTCATGGAGCAACATCAGTTCCATCCAGCTGAGGATCTAACTCAATGTATTTAAAATACCGAGTTACATTATAATGGCAGCAATAACAAAAATTTAGGATATTTCCATTAGTTGTTATTTGCAGTGCTAGATTACCAGCACAAATAGAAATTTACAAAACAGAGCCTTACATTCATTGCAAAGTCCTGTGTTTAAATTATTCTCCCAGGAATTATTGTACCAAGAATACATACACTTGCGCTAATAAGAATACTTTTTGTGTTAGTTTTTATTGTACAACCTTTTGTTAAAGTATTTTGGCTTTTTAATAAGTGAAGTCCTGGTAAGTGTGTGACAGAACCTGTAAACATTACCATTTGCTGAACAGTTGTAAATATCTTTATAAAAGCTGTAAATAACTACAAATACCACAAAATGTAGTTACTGCTGTTCCTATTTATTCAAGACATTTTCATTTAAAGTCACAAAAATAAATGTGTTCAATCAATACTAAGAGTCCTGACAGACAGAAATTCAAGAAAACTCCAAGGTACAGTTTTAAATCCATCCTTTCCCCCTGTCCATATGGAACTACATGTAAAGTCATCTCTTTCCATACTCCAGCAACAGAGAGTAACACAGCTTTGTTTCAGTTTAAGATTTGGTGAGATCTAATGTAATTATTTGGTGATCTGACTAAAAATCAGAAGCAGGAGAGAACTGACTCAAGGCAAATTAATTAATCACTTTAAAAATGCGTCCAGTTTTGGCTAACGTCACTTTAATGTTCAGAACATCGCCTATGCTTCTCTATGCTGTTTATAGGGAATCCCTAGATATCAGGGTTTAAGACAATCAAAACATTTTCAAGGGCAAATATTCATTTAGTCAGTCTGGGAAAGCACTGGTGTCCACTGTGTAGCACACTGCACTGGGACCTTGGATCTATTCCCAGTTTATAACTGTGTGATCTTGGGCAAGTCACTTCACCTCTCTGTCCCTCTGTTTCCTCTCCCATCCTTTGTAAGCTCTCCTGGGAAAGGACCATCTCTTGCTATGTTTGTACAATGGCTAGCATGACAGGGACTCATTCTTGGGTGGGGTCTCTAGTGCTTCTGTAATAAAAATAATAAATACCAATAAATTTTTTTAGAAGGTGAACCTAGGCTCCTGGATGGACCTGTAACTTTTTCAGCATCTCTCTGCAGCTTTACCTCTACTATAGCTTTTTAAGAGTTTATTCCTTTCCTGAACAGCCTCATTGCTTGGGTGGGAGTGACACTGGCATAGTAAAAGCAAGATTATGAGCCATTTACCCATACTACTGAGCAGTTACTCGCTCAAGTAAATCTCATTCAAGTCAATTAAATTACTAGGATGAACAAAGCTTAGCAGTAAGAATAAGGGGCTCACAACCTGTTCTTTAAAAATGAAAGTTTTTTAAAAATAAATATTCTCTGTTCTTTAATTACGTTCACTGGCAGCTTGACACTCAATGAGACATAACATGGGGGAAATATAAGTCACATACATTAAAATGGACCAAAATAAGTAAATTTATGCCACTCTGAAACTATTAACAGATGCTACATCGAATGAAAACACAAAATGCAATAGGTAACACAGAAAATTAAAGGAAAAACAAAGCTATCATCCAATCTGGCCCCAAATCCTTGTCTTTTTCCCCCCAGATTTAGTCTAGTTAGAGACAGTTCTTTGAAGCCTTTGTACAATTCTGATATTCTCCATTAATGCTGCCTAACCTTATATTAATTTATAATGTAAACCACTCTTCAAACACCTTGTGATACACAAATGAGTGCACACAAGGCTGTGTACAAGAAGAGCTACAAGATGTGTGAGGTGATATCTTTTATTGGACCAACTTCTGTTGATGAAAGAGACAAACTTTTGAGCTACACACAGCTTGAAAGCTTGTCTCTTTCATCAACAGAAGCTGGTCCAATAAAAGACATTATTTCACCCACCTTGTCTCTCTGATATCCTGGAACAAACACTCTACAATACTGCAAACAACATATAAGAAGAGCTGATATATATGGGCTGAAATGCCCTCCACCAGTACACACAGCTAAAATTTAGCCAAATCTTTCCAATGTCAAGGAGAGAGATATCTCTTAGCCTTCCATAATTCCATAATATTTGAGAAAAAGAACTAGAAGAACTTGTACAATATTCTATCTATTGTAAAATATCCACCTGTTATACCTTTGATGAATCTAATCCAATGTCATTTTTCCCTACTGTATTCTAATCACACTAGCCCTATTTTGTAACGGGCTTTGTTACAAGAAAATTGACCATGACATCTGCTAACCACCCATGTCTTCAGCTTAGATGCACAATTGATATCATGATCAATTATTAGGCAGTACAGCCCATAATGATGCTTAGTTAAGCGATTAGATAGATTAGAAATCAGATCCATTATGGCACATTGCCCCCATCCAGTATGTAAAGGTGATGTACAGAATTTTATTTACCTGCATAGCTTAACAAACTGTTTAGAGCATGCAGCATTATGTTCAATGAAAATTTTAGCTCACTAGATGGAACACAGGATTTATAATTTCTCAAAGCACTTTACAGATGTTGATTAAGCCTCAGTGAATTAAGCTTCACAGCGTCCTTGAGAAAGGCAAGGAGTTGCTTTTCCCACCATGGAAATGCAGCTGCTTCTGGGATGGTCCATGGCAGCAGTGTGAATACCTCTCTGCGCCACAGATTAGGACAAAATGGTACCTTGTTCTTTAATCACAGAACTGTGGTTTCAAAACCCACATTAGGCTATACTGTAATGTCCTTTATCGGGGGGGTCTGTAACCCAAGCACCAGGTCCAGGCTAGAGTATAAATTAAACAGTTGTTTGGCAGTATCTGAATGTAACTAAGTTTCTGCAACATGCCAAACCTTCTCCAACTTTCTAGAAGTCTTCACGGGAAGGGTCAGTGGACTCCACACAGGTCTCTCTACAAAGACACTACTCTCCTTCATTCTACATGAAAATGTACTGCTATCCCCATGGACAACCATCATTACAATGTCTGTAAGCACTTGCAGATGTAGCAGCAACCAACATTTCAGAATAAATTTCCAGGAACTGATAAAACCAATCCAATCCCATATGAAAGGTGCTTATCCGTCATAGGCTAAGACAAGTGGATGAAACACTGAACTGGGACTCAAGATAATTGGGCTTAACTCCTACCTCTGCCACTTGCCTTCTGCGTCACCTTGAACAAGTGGTTCACCTTCCTGTGCCTCAGTTTCTTCATCTGTTGAACAGGAATAATGCAATTTACCTCCTCTGTGAAGTGCCTTGAAATCTATGGATGAAAAGAACTAGGTATTATTAGTAGTAGTACGAAAGTTGTAGGTATTCATTCACTTTACATTACCTACCGTTTGTTTTGTGCCATCTAAACATACAGTCGTTGGGTTAAACATGCTGCAATATAAATGATGTAATACAAAACAAGAGATCAGATATTTGTCCTGATTTGGAAAGTGACCTCCTAATTTGAAGTTGCTGCGGAACGTGTCATCATTTCTATGGTACTAGTGCTTCAGAAGTAGCAAGAGAATAGAACAGCAAACCTACCATATCTGAAGAATTTTTACTCTGTGTGCGTGCGTGCGTGCGCATATGCAGTCTTGTCTTTGGTACTTTTATGACTCCCCCCTTACCATAGTATCTGGGCACCTCCCAATTTTTAATGTATTTATTCTCACAACACCACTGTGAGGTGGCAAAATATTATCCCCAATTTACAGATAGGGAACTGAAGAAGAGAGAGACTGAGCAAAATTTTCAAAAGCACCTAAATTCCATCAAAAAAAAATCCCTACTTAATCTGGGTGGATATTATACTCTTACATTACAAAGAAAAATATTCACCCTATAAGGATGAAATAGCAGGATCTGGAGCCAAACTAAGGCTATGTCTACAGGACAGGTTATGTCGGCATAATTTATGTCGCTCAGGGGTGTGAATAAACCATCCCTCTGAACAACATAAGTTATACCAACATAAGCGCCAGTGTGGACAACGCTATGTCGGCAGGAGCACGTCTCTCGCCAACGTTAGTACTGCCTGTCACAGAGGTGGTTTTATTATGCCGACAGGAGAGCTCTCTCGCGTCGGCATAGAGCATCGTCACCAGACCCACTGCAGCGGCCCAGCTGCGCTGCTGCAGTGCTGTATATGTAGACAAGCCGATATGTTTTGAACGGAAGGAGCCCAGGAAACCCTTTCACTGCTAATTATTTTAACTCATGTGTCATGCAATAACTCACATGTTGGTAACCGTCAAAAGTCAACATTTACCGGTAGTGATAATAGTTACTAACATCTGAGGCCCTGAAGTTATTTACCATTATAAATGTACGGAAAATAACACAACATCTCATATACTATTCTTTGGCAACTCTTGGTAAACGTTGACTCTTCAGTGCTGACCACTGCACTGTGCATACTATTATGTTTTTATTTTTCTGATTCCTTGAGAATAACCCTAAAGAGGCCCAAATGTAATTACCATTTACATATAATCTGTCTTAGCACAGAGAAATACGCAGCACTTAATATCCAAATACCCTACTACTATTTAAACAACAACAACAAAATACTTCTCATGTTCAGCAGATACATTGAGCAGTTACCAATTAAGCAAATAATAATCTCATGACATTTGATGCATGGAAAAGATATTAATAACTATTCTTTATAAAGTGAGTACTGATGTCTGATTAATGTATAGTGCTGTAGGCTTATTGGAAAAAAAAATGCTTTTTTTGCCTCTGTTTTCACTAACAAGGTCAGCTCCCAGACTGCTACGCTGGGCATCACAAAATGGGGAAGAGATGGCCAGCCCTCTGTGGAGATAGAGGTGGTTAGGGACTATTTAGAAAAGCTGGACGTGCACAAGTCCATGGGGCCGGACGAGTTGCATCCAAGAGTGCTGAAGGAATTGGCGGCTGTGATTGCAGAGCCATTGGCCATTATCTTTGAAAACTCGTGGCGAACCGGGGAAGTCCCGGATGACTGGAAAAAGGCTAATGTAGTGCCAATCTTTAAAAAAGGGAAGAAGGAGGATCCTGGGAACTACAGGCCAGTCAGCCTCACTTCAGTCCCTGGAAAAATCATGGAGCAGGTCCTCAAAGAATCAATCCTGAAGCACTTGCATGAGAGGAAAGTGATCAGGAACAGCCAGCATGGATTCACCAAGGGAAGGTCATGCCTGACTAATCTAATCGCCTTTTATGATGAGATTACTGGTTCTGTGGATGAAGGGAAAGCAGTGGATGTATTGTTTCTTGACTTTAGCAAAGCTTTTGACACGGTCTCCCACAGTATTCTTGTCAGCAAGTTAAGGAAGTATGGGCTGGATGAATGCACTACAAGGTGGGTAGAAAGCTGGCTAGATTGTCGGGCTCAACGGGTAGTGATCAATGGCTCCATATCTAGTTGGCAGCCGGTATCAAGTGGAGTACCCCAAGGGTCGGTCCTGGGGCCGGTTTTGTTCAATATCTTCATAAATGATCTGGAGGATGGTGTGGATTGCACTCTCAGCAAATTTGCGGATGATACTAAACTGGGAGGAGTGGTAGATACTCTGGAGGGGAGGGATAGGATACAGAAAGACCTAGACAAATTGGAGGATTGGGCCAAAAGAAATCTGATGAGGTTCAATAAGGATAAGTGCAGGGTCCTGCACTTAGGACGGAAGAACCCAATGCACAGCTACAGACTAGGGACCGAATGGCTAGGCAGCAGTTCTGCGGAAAAGGACCTAGGGGTGACAGTGGACGAGAAGCTGGATATGAGTCAGCAGTGTGCCCTTGTTGCCAAGAAGGCCAATGGCATTTTGGGATGTATAAGTAGGGGCATAGCGAGCAGATCGAGGGACGTGATCGTTCCCCTCTATTCGACATTGGTGAGGCCTCATCTGGAGTACTGTGTCCAGTTTTGGGCCCCACACTTCAAGAAGGATGTGGATAAATTGGAGAGAGTCCAGCGAAGGGCAACAAAAATGATTAGGGGACTGGAACTCCCCTGGACTCCTCATGAGTTATGAGGAGAGGCTGAGGGAGCTGGGATTGTTTAGCCTGCAGAAGAGAAGAATGAGGGGGGATTTGATAGCTGCTTTCAACTACCTGAAAGGGGGTTCCAAAGAGGATGGCTCTAGACTGTTCTCAATGGTAGCAGATGACAGAACGAGGAGTAATGGTCTCAAGTTGCAGTGGGGAAGGTTTAGATTGGATATTAGGAAAAACTTTTTCACTAAGAGGGTGGTGAAACACTGGAATGCGTTACCTAGGGAGGTGGTAGAATCTCCTTCCTTAGAGGTTTTTAAGGTCAGGCTTGACAAAGCCCTGGCTGGGACGATTTAACTGGGAATTGCTCCTGCTTTGAGCAGGGGGTTGGACTAGATGACCTTCTGGGGTCCCTTCCAACCCTGATATTCTATGATTCTATGATTCTATGAATACATAGTGTCCTGTCACCTCAGTGATGTAAGACAGTGTGTAGGTTTAGTCTTGCATGTGACAGGAGTTTTGAAGCAGTTTTAGAAAGGCATAGATTTTCTGAGCTACTTATCGTTCAAAAGAGCAATAGGAGAGCAGGGAAAGGCCGAAGCACCAATAAATCAAGAAGAATTGAGAGCAGAGGTGGATTACGGGTTTATGGGGCCCCGGACCAGAGCAAGTGGGGGGCTCCTCCCCACCCTGTCCGCCTGCAGTCCCCCCACCCTCCCTCTCAGCTCTCCTGCCAGGGAGCAGGGTCAGGGCACGGGGGCTTCCCCCACTCCCCAACAGGAGCGCTGGGTGGGCGGAGCAGGTTGGGGTGTGCTCATTTTTCCAGGGGCCTCCCAATTGCCAGGGCCCTTGGGAATGGATCCCATTGGCCGAGTGGCTAATCCACTACTGTTTGAAGTCAGGAAAAGACTTATCTCAGCGCATGATAGGGAAGGCAGAACAGCCTTAAGTGACCTGTCACCTCCTGAACAAGGAATGGTGGGTAGAGAACCTTCAAAGGGGCAAGAATCCCCTGAATATTAAATAAACAGATTTTGCCACATGAAAAGAATGAGTGTCCACATTGTTATATGCTGTAATTAGGACACAGCAATAGCTCCACACATCTGAACAGTCTACTTTACTATAGAAACATCTACCACCAAGCAAAGACATACTAAAACACATGGGTGCCCTTCAGCGCCATCTAGTGATCCCCCAAGTAACTCCTCACCACATCTGTCAAATTTGTCACACAGACTTGCAAGGCCCTGAGCAGAAATTATTTGCTTTTCAAAGGTGCTGAGCACACACAATGCCAACTGAAGTCAACAGGAGCTGTAGGTGCACAGCACCTTTGAAAATTAAGTTAGCCATTCACTGTTGACAATGTGACTCATTTGTACTTTTGTGGGGGTGTTTTTTTATTACATACTATTTTTGTAAAGGTATGATAATGTACTGAGGTGAAGTTCAGGAGACACTATATAGTCCAGTACAAAGGAAGGAGTTTACATATTTTATTAATAATAAAATAATTAACATGTTTCACACTTGAACAGCACCTTCCTCCCTCAAACATCTGATGCTGCTTTATATGCATTAATGAATTAAGTGTGACACCATCCTGGTGAGGTAAGCAAGTAAATCCCCAATTCACAGATGAGAAAAATGAATAATAAGCACATATACTGCTATATATGTTCAAAGCTGCGTGCAAAAAGACAAGATGCTCTCTTTCTCTCTTTTTGTTTTTGTTTGTTTGTTAAGGAATACTCAAGGGTCACCCCGTCAGTTAGCCTCTAAGACTGCCCCAGGACTGAAGAGGTTTTCATCTTGCAGTAAATTATGCCAGATCCTCCAGTGCCCTGTACACTGTCTAATCATTTACACCTGTATAAAGTAGGAGTAACACACTACCACACTAAGTGGGGGTTCTGATTTGGTAGTATTTGGCACCTACTTCCTACAGGCGTAAATGACTGGCAGTGGAGAAATAGGCCCTGTGTGTTTCATCTTGCTTAACAAGATGACACAAGATCCAGTGATCCTGACTATTCCCTCACTTATATTGTTATAAACCCAGTGTGACTTCATTGACTTGGATGGATTTACTTCCTGATTTGCACTAGTGTAAATAAAAATATTTAAAAATCAGGTCCAAAAATTTTAGAAGAGAATTTCAAAAGAGAAGGAAACTGACAAGCAATAAAGATCAATCACTGCTCTTCTAGATAGATGATGGGTCAGCGTTATCTTTGATCAAGAGTGACTAAATATCACTAGTCAAATGGCAACTACAAATGA